TGTTTTCAGAAAGAGACAGAATTTGAAAGTAATATTCCAAAAATTTTCCTGGCCAATAAAATTCTCATCTCCGATTTTCGAGGGTAAAAAATCTTCTGAAAATTCCAGGTTTCGCGGATTTTTTCAGGTAGTAAATACTGTTACGATTGATTACTCGCGAAGAAACTAATTAGCCTTGATTTCTACAGTTCGTTTTCTCTCCAAGTCAAATTTCCGCGTCAAGATGATAGGTTCGCCGCGTCGAACAATGACAGTTCTATCGACGGAAGAGAGAGATCAAGCACTCCTCGGACATAAACTCTTGCAAGAAACTTTCTCCTTTATTTTCCCCGCTCCTGAGAGTTATAATCCCAGACGGTAGGTTATTCTTGCGCAGCTGATGTCATGCTTTCAATAAGAAGACATCCCCGACCCTTAGTACGACTGTGTGTTTTTCGGGCTCTACTGTTTTGACAGGCAAATTCCATACTCAAAGAAAATGAACTCGCGGACCATCTTGTCACAATATTTTCGTCCGCGAGGACAGGATGTTTTGCTTCGACCTTGCAACTTCATTTACTCTCAAAATTAACTCCCGCTTCCGAAATCGTCTGGACGTCCGAAAAGAAATTCATATAACTCAAGGAGATTTTATTTATCTCCTTCCGATTATATCATCTTCTCCTCTTCATGTATTAGGCTCCGCTTTCAAATTATTCAATAGCGTCTGCCCACACTTCCCGCCTCCTTTCACGCCGATCATGCAGTTGACCCCGACCAAAAGGATAGATCGCCGTCGTGAATCATGCGGATCCTTACGTATCGCAGAATGTGCCTGAACCGCGACTACGTCACGGCTCCGAATAGACAAGGTCCCGCAAGTTCCGATAAAAAAAAAGGCACACGTGCCGATCGAATGTTTTGACGAACAGTGCGGCTATTATAAGGCGACTTACGCCTTTTTCAGAGATTTTAAAGACGACTTTAATATTTCGATGTCCCGCTTTACCGTAGCAATTAAGTACCGTGAATAGCAAAATCGGAAATACTTCATGTCTGATTATTAAAGAAGATACAAGCAGCAACGAAATGACATTCTACTCCGTACAATATTATAGTTGTAACAATTGTATTTTGCAATGTTTTATAATTTACTTATTTATAATAATTTTAATAATCTTAATATATTAATTGATTACTATATTAATTACTTCGAACTGTATTTTGTAAATGCCAAGATTAGAACAATTTATTCACTTCAGCTTCTTATCTTGTAAAAATTATAACAACGACTTATTAATTTTCTAGTGTAGATTTAACGCTTCATGCTTGTTACGATTTCGGATAGAGAAATTTTATATATCTGTATCAGCTGTTTGATGTATATTACGTTAAGTACTTTGGGGATTTATGTTCAGTGATGATTCTCGACATTGACATACAACTTCTGCCTCTCGCGTCGATTAATATATACACACGTTCTCTCGATTCCCCCTGAACCGCGATCATGCTCGCGTATATAGACTTGACACGAATTCGACAAGAGACGTCCTCAGACGCCACAGTACACGTGTGCACGCGGCAGTCCGTAAATGGACGTTAGTATTGTAAAAAAAAAGCAGCGTTTTGCCTTTTTCATCCTTGGCATTAAGGAATGTCTGCCTTCTGCAGAATCCCCGCGCGCGTTTATCGCGACGAGCAGCGAACGCTCCAATCAACCAGATGATTGGCTAACCATTTTAATCTCGTAATTAGATATCCGGCTCCTCTCGCGTTACATCTGTTTTTACATGTTGTTTACATGTCCTGTCGTATAGGAACGCGTTGTATATTTTACATACACGCAGAACAAATATACGTATTACAATGTAACTGCCATGAGAAAAGAGCATTAATACCGTCGTAAATGGCATGTGCGGAACTATATATACGAATTGCACGCCGAGGCACACGAGTCTTGGCGAAGTGAAAAATGATGGCGAGAAATGAAAAAAAAAAAAAAGAAGGAACCTCGCGTGAGTTCTGCAAATTCTTCCGGCATGCTCAAAATGCCGCTGCCGCTGCATTTCGGCGGCGTGCGGCGTCGTGTTATGTAACGCTCCACATATACGAGGGGGGGAGCGTTAAACGGCCACCTGTTCAATCGGCGCCGCCCGCGCCGCCGCGCCGCCGCGTTGACGAGCGCGCTCGGGCGCGCGCTTGCAGTGGGAAAAAAAATCCTCTCGGCGACGCGCCGTACTTTATACGTGTTAACACGTTTGACGCGTTAATCGGCGGCGTCCAATCGTTCCCGATTAACAGCCGGAAGAAAAAGATACGAGCGGCCCCGAGGATGATCTCACTCCGCCGCGAAGCGATCGGGCGATGACGCCAGCAATCCGCGCGAGCGGCCTTCTGCCGCGCGAGAACGTGAAAGAGAGACAGAGAGACCGAAACGGTGTCACGCGAAATTCCGACGGGCACGCACGCGGAGTCGCGGAGGCCGAACGCGAGCTGATTCTCTTCCTTTTTTTTCTTCTTCTTCTTCTTCGACCTACACGCGCCTGCGTTGCCGAGAAGATGATCGCTTCGCGCGTCTGAGAGGTGCGCCTTTGTCTCCGCGTGAGACGCATACCGGTTTAGCACCTCCGCATCTATTCTCCACGCACGCTTAACGCTAAAACGCGTCTTGTCAGATTTTGAAGAAGCGTAGCTGGCTTCTGGTACGTATGATAGCGCGAAGCTATAGAATTACGCGTATGCGCGCGTAAAAAAGAATTGGATATCTCGTTGGTTTCATTTTCACGTGGTATCTCCTCGAGACTGCGTGGCATGCAAATTAGAATTTAAAAAAAAAAGTGACTGCGAATAGAAATCAATGTATTGGCAAACCGCCTTACGCTCCGTAAAATATTTCACGTGTCGCTCCATGGTGCCAAATAAAAGTGGCCGCAAAAAGACGTGCACACGACACGTTTCAATTTATAGAAAGCGGTTAATTGTATCGAGGATGTGTAGCTAGGATTTTATTGGTGAAAATTGGTATGTAGAAAAATGCAGTTTGCTCTGCGCACTATATGCAAGTCATCTGTACGTGTCTGGCTATGTTGCATCAATCGTTGTCACTATTCACTGAACACTAAACGCTATACGTAACTACCATGTATCGAAAGGTGCAGTTACCCGGTTTTTGCACTCAGAGGCTTTCAACGTGAACTGAATGCGCAAGAAAAGAATGTTATACGAAGCTGCATCGAAAGAAAAAAAATGATTGCAAATATTATAATTTAACTATAATTTATAATCATTTTCGGTGCAAACTATAGGTATTTTTTAATTTTTAAAATATATATAATTATTATTAACATACATAATTATTATTATTATTATATTATAATAGTCATAACTATAAAAATAGAGCTTCTAACCATATTTTACCGTATTATTTTATCATATACAATTAGAGTCACAAATACGAAGCTGCGAAAGAAAAAAATGGTTGCAAATATCATAATTGAATATTATAATTTTTAATTATTTTCGAGGCCAGCTGTATATTTTTTTAAGTAGAATTATAAATATAATTATACTACTGACATTGTATAAAAAAAAAATTATAAAAATGGAGGATCTTCTAACTATGTTTTATCATACAATTATAGTCGCAAATAGCCAAGCACTTTTCTCTCAGTGTAACGTTAACAATAAAATTAACAATCCTAATCGCGGCGTGAAATCGAAAATTTACACGATAGTCTTTACATGCACGTAAATTGCAAGCTAAACGACTCGAATTTGTGTCGCATCTAAGGTCGATGATATCGCGCGTACGGGTGTGTGATGTGCGTATCATCGAGCGTATATCGTTCTTTACTGAGGATTGCGTTAAAGCCACAAACCAGCGGTTCCCAACCTTTTCACGGAAACTGAAACTTTTTATCGCGGAGCGCGGAGCCCGCGAATAAAATTCGCAAAGCGCTATTTCAATAACAATGCACACACAGATGCGCCGCTAACGAATTTCATGCGCTCTAAGAAACGGGCGCGAGCACGTAATTTATTTTAACTTCACCGAACGATATTAACGAGGTGAAATTTTCCGTTGCATTCACGCGTTTCCGCGAGAGTCTGAGTAACCGCTGCGAACGGGATAGATTCACCGCGATAGCGATTTCGATATCAAGATTATCGAGTTTTAAATCGTACGGGAATGTTTGCTTATCGAGGTGGAAGGAACAATGGGCGTACTCTCGGAACATTATTTTGAGCGAGAAATAAAATTAGCAAAAACTAGATGTAGAAGTAATAAAAAGCATGGCACTTACAAAAGTAGGACGACGGCTCGCTCGACGCAAATAGTAGTGTTTTAAATGTTTTCGCTACGGTGATACACACAAACGGTGACAAATACGATAACACAACAGGAAACTCGGCGTACATGCCCACGTATGGCGGCATATCTCGCCACGGGAATTCCTATACTGCAGGTTTTATCATGTTGCGCGAAAAGTTACACGCGGCGTTACTTCCTTCTTTTTTTTCCCTATCCTATCTCTCTCTCTCTCTCTCTCTTTCTCACGGAAAGAACAATTTTGCTGGATCCAGATAAGAAAATAATTTTTGTTCAATAATCAAAATAATTTTGTTGGAAAGTC